GAACTTTTATCCAGAAATAAAAGGGTATCCTCTGACATTTCCTACAGCTTTAGCATATTGGCTTTATTTTTCTAAATTCTGTAATGTGATGAATGGTTTTGAACACGTATTATCCTTACAAAATGTTGATTAAGCAACCTAAATAAAATCAGGAACTGAATTGCATAAAAAACTTAAGATAGAAAAGGATACATGCGTTAAAGAAGAAAAAAATAATATATGCTAAGAAAGCTTAACCTACAACTTACCGGTCATAGTCTCCATTACACAGTGCTCTGACAGAAATCTTGAATGCCTGCCACACTGGATTTAATGTATTTTTTATGACTTCTGTTTTGTGGCAGATCGTAAAACTGTAATAAAAAAAAGATACATTTTGTATTTATTTACTTTTTCTTTTGTGTCATCAGACACTGAATCAAAAGAGGTGTAATCTGTATTCACTCATACAATGACCATATAAAATTTAAAATAAAAAAAACAGAAATGCAGTGAAATCAGTGAGAAGGCATGACTGAAGAGGACAGACCTGTTTGAGAGAGATGACAGACTAGGGCACTAAACAATTCTAAACCTAAAATGTTTTTACACAAAACTTCGACAAGAATTACAACTATTCAGTGAGTTATTTCAGGCAAGAGCAGTCTCCATCCCACTTGTTTAAATAGGCCTTGCACAGCCTGGAATCAGTCACAGATCCAGAAAGCGAGCAGTCTGGTCAGGATTTGAATTTTAGTGATTAAGAAACCAAGGGAGTCATGGCTTTCTGATGCTTGTTCTCCATTTTATGTCTATGATTTCTTAACCAGGGGTGCCTCAAGTAAAACATAAAAGCCTCAGTGAGATCTCATAATCACCTTCTCTCACGTGAAATAAAATTAATTGTTTTAATGCATTCTGCTTTCACTAAATGATGCAAAATTAAAATACTTCTTTTGAATCCTCATCTTAGGGACTGAATTAGTCAAAAGAAAATAGGAGGGAAGGTCACTGGTGAAATCGCTACTGAAACTCTACATACAGATGTAACTAAAGTTGTTCTCTGAGGGAATATCCTCCTTATGTTCCAAAGGCCTATGGTTTTGTCCCGGCTATGATTCAGAAGGCATGCCTGAAGCTAAGAGACAGGAAAGAGAGCATCCTTCTTTCCGTGGGTGCAGAAGCACTGCCACAAACTCCTGCTATATTCGGGAGACCAATAAAGAATCGGTTGCTCACCACTCCCCTCTTAGAAGGAAGTGGAGAAGCATGGCACACAAGGCCAACAGAAACTGCATATAATCTAATGCCCAGAGAAATTCCACTAATGACCTTAATGCCATTCACAAAGGACCCATAACTCCTCCAGGCTTGCAATTTAAGATATTCAGCTTTTATTCAGGAAGCTGTTCCTATAATCCCCCTCCAAGAGGAAAAGAGCAGGGAACAGACACACATATACCCATACATAGGTTTATGTTAACAACTGTTCCAGTTAAGCTATCAAAACAAGTAACATCATACATGTCAAGCCTTTGGTTTGATATGAAGTTCTATGTGAGGACTATCAGTTTCCAAGAAAACTTGACCTGCCAGTAGACCGTCACATAAGCAGTATGTTGAGCAGAAGTTAGCATGTCAAGTCTTAGCAGCAGAACAGGGGAGATTAACCTACTTCAACAAATTAAAGCATGAGTTTAGGAAACACCCACTTGTTAAAAAAAAATCTATTTAAGATATTTTTGAATTCTATTTTCTAGAACTGTAAAAAAGATAAAAGACACTTCCGAATTGTCAGTTAAAAATGTTTTTACCTAAAACAATTTCTAAGCATAAGCATATTCTGCAGCTACAATTTTCATTGAGAATTCTATTTAATTTAAAGGAATACTGTATCTCGGCAAAAGTAACACTATTTAACTATTTTTATAACTATTTTTAATTTTCATAGTGCTCTGTATTCATCATACATTCAAGTCTTAAAAACCTGAGTTGCAATATTTGATCTCTTTATTTCAACAGTTTCATTCCTACACTGTGTAACGATATACTTAAATCCAACAAACATTATAAAAGAAACATGGCTTAATCTGACAAATATAAAAAAATGAAACTATATTACCAATTGCAAATAAGTAAGTTGCCTACTCTTTAGCAGCAGAAATACTTAACAGGCATCTACCTGCCATCTTCATTGCTTCGATGAAATACAAGGAAAGGATCAGATTTCCCAAAGAAGTCCTTCTTGTCTAGTTTGTTCGCACAAAACTGCATTAAAACTGAATCCTGAAATGTGTAATAAAGAAAAATTACAAACCACATGCAGTTTACCACACTAAAATAAGAAAAATAAAGCACTGACGAATAACCATACAAATAGAACAAAATAAATGAAGATATCTGCCTTCTAGATGCCCTCTCCATATTAGCATCCCTGCAGTGTCCTTATAGTGCAGTTTGAACTGCTGGACCCAAGAATTCCTTCGTAGGCGGTTGCAAAGGAAGGGCACATTGCTATGCTAACTGCCTCAGGATTCTTCCAGTACTCTCTGACATTCAAAGTTGCATTCTGAGGGAAGTAGATGCACAGGAAAGGAACGCAAATTAGAATTAATTTTAAAAAACTCCACTGAGACACGACTAAGCCTCATTCCTTCAGTGACTCAAATCTGCAGTTGTCTGCTCCTGCTGTCTGTACAGCAAATGGTTAGCAGCTTGCTATTAAGAGTCTAGAAGCTTTCAGAAAAGGAGTCTGCAAGATAGCAAACACCCATTCTGATGACAAATAAGGAGAAAAATTTCTTTGCAGTGGTCAGGCAAACTGATAGTCACATGTGGTCATCTCTTTGGGCAGAATCAAGAATTTGAGAAGGATTATAAATGTAAACGTGCAGATCACCAGCTAACCGGGGCAGGGCCTGCTGGAAGACAGTTCTATACACAGGTCTACAGGCGTAACAGCAGCGTGAGGAAGGCTAGGAAAAATGTGGGCTCATCACTGAATGGGGCAGGGGATCAATTGACGAAGGACATGGAAAAGTCCATGTTTCTCATAGCCTTCTATGCCTTAGTCTGTACTGGCAAGATTTGCCTTCAAGAATCTTGGGCACTTGAGACCCAGACCTGAGGAAGTCTGGAACAAGGGTGACTTGCCCTTGGTAGAGGAGGACCAGGTAAGGCAACATCTAAACAGACTAGACATACAGAAGTCCATGGGACCTGATAGGATGCACCTGTGAGTGCTGACAGAACTGGCCAGTGTCACTGTGAGGCCACTTTTGATTATCTTTGGAAAGTCATGAGAACTGGGAAAAAGAAACCCATCACTCCTATCTTTGAGAAAGGGCAAAGAAGAGGATCCAGGCCAATCTTTGCTCAATCAATAGAACAAATACCCCTGGAAAACATTTAGAAACACATGAAAGATGAGAAGGTGGCTAAGAGTCATCACTGTGGATTTACAAAGGGGAAATTCCTGTCTGATCGACCTGATGCCTTCTCCCATAAAATAAGTGGCTTGGCGGATGACGGAAGACTAGTGGATGTTGTTTATCTTGACTCTAGCATGACTGTCTCCCATAATATCCCTGTTCACAAACTGATGAATTACAGACTAGAACACTGGATAGGTGAAGTGGACTGAAAACTGGCTGAACTGTCATGATCAGTGGCACAAAGTCCAGCTGGAGACCAACCACTAGTAGTATACCTAGGTGTCAAAACTAGGGCAAATCATGTTTAACAACTTCATTAATGACCTGGATCATGGGACAGAGTAGACTCTCAGCAAGTTTGCAAACAATACAAAACTAGAAGTAGTGGTTTATACAGCAGATGGCTGCGCTGCCATTCAGAGGCACCTGTACAGGCTGGAAAAACAAACCAACATGAACACCATGAAGTTCAATGGAGGGAAATGCCAAGTACTGCACTTGGAGGGGAATAACCCCACGCACCAGTACAGGCTGCAGGCCAAACACTGCAAAGCAGCTTTGCAGAAAAGGACTAGGGGTCTTGGTGGACCAAGTCTCCTCTTATATGAGGAGAGGCTGAGAGCGCTAAAGTTATTTAACCTGCAGAAGAGTAGGCTCAGAGGAATTCTAACAATTTCTATAAATACCTGATGGGAGGGAGTAAACAGACTCTGCTTAGTGGTATTGGATCTGGAATATTGCGTCCAGTTCTGGGCCCCTCAGTTCAAGAAGAACAGGGAATTGCTTGAAAGAGTCCAGCACAGGGCCACAAAGATGATTGAGGGAGTGGAGCATCTCCCTTATGAGAAGCGGCTGAGGGAGCTGGGTCTCTTTAGCTTGGAGAAGAGGAGACTGAGGGGAGACCTCATTCATGTTTATAAATTTGTAAAGGGCAAGTGTCAGGAGGAAGGAGCCAGGCTCTTCTTTCTGATGTCAAGTGATAGGACAAGGGGAAATGGGAGCAAGCTGGAGCATAGGAGGTTCCACATGAACATGAGGAAAAACTTTTTTACTGTGAGGGCTACAGAGCACTGAACAGGCTGCCCAGAGAGGTTGTGGAGTCTCCTTCTCTGGAGACTTTCAAGACCTGCCTGGATGCATTCCTGTGTGACCTAGTCTAGGTGATCCTGCTCTGGTAGGGGGTTGGACTAGATGATCTTTTGAGGTCTCCTAATATTCTGTGTGTGATTCTGAGTATCCAGTGGAAGCACAAGTGGTAACAGATACAAGCTGAAATACAGGAAATTCCATTTAAATACCTGAAAAAAAACCTTTTTACTGTGAGTGTGACAGAACACTGAATCAGAGAGACTACACGTCTCCTTGGACATACTCAAAGCCTGACTACACAGAGCCCTGAATAACCCGCTCTAAGAAGAGCAGGAGGATTGGACTAAATGATCTCCCAAGGTTTCTTCCAACCTCAACAATTCAGTGATTCTAAAAATCTTTCCCATTTTGAATATGGGTTATAAGTTTGACAAGAAATCTCAGAAGATCAGGTAAGAATTAATCCAAATACTGAATAATCTTAGGTAGGAAAATATCACAGAGAAAGTATGTGACAGCTAGTGAGATAGCACAAGAAAGTGTGTAAGACAGGGTGCACATGAAAGAGCACAGCAGAGAATGCAAGAGAGAGAGATTGAGTCTCAAATTCTTTGCAAGTTCCCTTCAATGATTATGAACTACTCATCACACATGTAAAATTTGAGTAGGGTGAATCTGGAAGAACATGAAGGCCTTAGAAGTCACTTAATATTTGTCTACATTAAAAGGGAAAGTAAAAAGTCCTGTTCCGATTATGGATTTAATTATTTTTAAAAAGTTTGTTATAACTGGGATACAAATGCTGGTCTTGGAGGATAAGCCCACAATGTCAGGAAAAAATCACCTTTAGTCTCTTCTAAGGTTACCAATAAATGCTTGGGGTGATGGCACATATCTCATAAGAATGGTGGGAGTTTAACTTCTCAAGAAATGTAGAACAATTTCTTCAGGGAAGCAATTAAATGATGCACTCATTTTGTCATCTGACAAAAATGTAAACAATTTGATCATGTACAAAGAAACCAAAAGTTTGAGCTGATGGAAAACAGCCTGAAAGACAGGCATTTTCCATGACAATAAGTATTCATTTGTACAAGTAACACGGGTGTTTCCTACTGCTAAATGAAAGGTAAATGAGCCTGAGTTGGTGTACCCTATTAACATAACTGTGCAGGACCGGCAGGTTGCCTGGAAAAGGCAAATATGATTTGAGCTCATGTGCTAGTCAAATATACCACTTATGCAGAGAAATAATACAAACTTGACTAAGCTGGAAATAAGGCAAAAAAAAAAGCATTTTTTCCTTAATATCATTAGATATTTAAGCTAAAAGGATAAAGCCTAAATAGATTAGCTACCACATATCTTTGTTAAAAGAGAAGCCTGAGTATTGCATAAATAAATAAAAAAAATAACCACTTATGACATGGTATAAAATTTAGAAGTTGTACAAAAGGTGAAGCATTACCCCCTCAATACCACCTAATTACAAAAACTAAGCCCCAGAAACAAATCTCTTCCAGCCTCAAGGTATTTTTGTAGATTTATTTTGTACTTTCCAGATCCCTTGTACATTTACATCAAATGTCTTGATACTACTGCTTTCCTCTTTTAAAATTTGGTATCTTGTCATTGCCAGCTCTTCAAAGACTGCAGCCCCATCCAATATATACCACGCTTTGGCAAACTGCCCCCCTCATCAGATCCCATGTTTATCAACCCATATCTGTAATGCTTCCTTATTCTTCCTTCCAGTCACTGTTTCCCTGTGATTTCCAGATTGCTGCCAGCTCATTCCCTGTTGGGAAGCAACTGGGCTGGCTTGGCTGTCAGATGCTTTCTGACCAGTAAAGAATACCGCCTCTGTCCAATCCCCTTCTCCATGAGCCCTAGGCTGAAGAGGAGCAGTGACTCTCTTGGGGTAGGTCATGACCACACCATATCTCTCCCCTTAACTAGCCAAATTCCCCACTGCCCCCCTTGCCCAGATATTCTTCTATTTTCTATTAAATAAGCAGGCATCTGCCATTAATAGGCCAAACGGTTTAAACTCTTTTTTAATGGCAATTCTTTGAAATACCTTACTATTTTTTTCAATAAATATTAATTTCACAGTTTCTAAATAAGATGACTCACTATTAGCATAAAACCTTTAAACTGTAAGGTTAAAAATCCAAAATTTTACTTTGACATTCACGTAATATCAATATTCCATAATGAAAGCATAGTTTGATGGCTGAAACAAATGGATCTTTGTTAAAAATTGGACACTAAGAGATTAAAACGTGATGAATTATTTGCGGAAACAAAGACTGGGTTTAAAACTCATCCAAGAATCAAAAACTTCATGCGGTTTTCTACTTCTTTCACCTCCTGCTGTCTAAAACTAAGAGTAATTGATAGGAAAAAAGTATCCTAACTTCTTACAGATATGACTAAATGCAAATTTATACATTATACCTTTGACAGTCTGTTGCAGCACAAAACACAAAATAATTTTATTTTTCAAAAAGCAATCAACACACACTTACTCGGCAGCAGCCCAGTTCCTCTGCTGTTACTATGACTGTTCCACATTTCTTCCCAGGAATTCCTCTGCAAGAAAATACAACATCACCTCGGTTCCTTAATAAGAATGTTATGAACGTTACAACTGACACAGATAAGCACAAGGTAAGATTTCAAGTCACAAAATCAATAGCATGATACACAGTTTCCTTTTTCTGTTACTTGTCCTGTATAAAAACATCGGTTTATCCTGAGCGAATTGGTCAATGAGTTCCGTATTTCTTCTAACTAGCAAGGAACAAGTCAGTTTCCTTCAATTTCAAAAGAAACAGCATTAAAAGTTTAAATAGGATGAAAAGACAATATCAGAAATTATATTTTCTACTCTCTCATTGATTTTTTATTTACAAATGACTGCAACTTACCGATTTGTGAAAAGCATATTTTGCAAATTTTCCTCAAATAAAATATCTCAATATATTTAAAACTGTACACCAGCATTATTTTATAGTATTAATTCTGTAATGTTTATGAAGACACATCATACCATATACAGTAGTTGCAAAATAAATTACAGTTCATCCAGACAGCAATTAAAAACACGCTGCTGCAACACTATAAAGCACAAAACATAAAGAACAAAAGCATAAAGAATAATATAGGAACTGAAAAGCCACACATAATCTGATAGTACTTAGTGGCAGCAGCCCTTTAGGGGGTGAGAGGAAGTACAAGTATTTAGATGCAACTTTTTGCATGATACTATACTATAAACGAGAAGTTCTGCAATATCCTAATGTCACACATTGGCAATTATTACAGATTTTTTTCAAAACTAATGCTATTGCTTATGTTCATTTTATTTCTAGTTCTTTATTTCTTTACATCGTTCTGCAAAATAATTAATTATTTGATAATTATTACTTTCCAAGAAGACATCAAAGTAAAATTGTATTTTCAAATTGATTCTGGTTTTAGGTTTTTCTAAGAGAACTAGAGGGCACCGCTGTTCTGTTATGACAAAACATTAATGTAAACATTTACTGTTGTTATTTTGCTTATTAGTTTCCCTAATCCTTTTACAATGCTTTACAACTTCAAATAAGTTTAGCAAGATTGTGGTATAATAAGGAACTGATGGGAAAATAGTTCTTAAAAGCAGATAAAAGTTTAGAAATTTTGAATAGAGGAGCAAATACTGATGCAAATTTATGAAAGCTCACTGAAACTCCTGTTTAGAAGTTGATGCTTAAGTCTGTAAGGAATCCATCAGAGAATGCTGCTACTATAGTGCTGCAGTCATTTGCCATTACTCAGAGAGCTGCATCACTGCTCTCCTGGACCTCCTCAATGCTACATGGCAAGTCTGAATTTCACATGGAAAACAGCAGATAGGGAAACTGCTCACGTTTTTGTCATGAAATTTTAAATGTCACTTTAAATACATATAAAACTTATGGCACTTTTTCATTTCATGCAGTATGACTTATAAAGTACAATACTTTAAGATGAAAGAGGAGAATTTTCTTCAAATAACAGGAAAAAAAAGAATCTGGCCATTCCAAATGTTACACAGTATGATTCATAGTTTTATCAGCATCTTTAAATCACCTGGTTTTACAGCTGTCACCCTTCAACAGCTCACAACTGAAAATTATCCATTGTACCCTCTGTAGCAACGGGATATTCAAATTGAAATCTCAGATTTTCAGAAGATGAAAAAGCTGCACTTTTTTCTTTTGAACAGTACTTCTTGAAGCTTCAAAAATTTTTGAAATTTGGTAGTAAGAACAGTAGCAGAAATTACTTAGTTATGAGGGTGATATTGACATTACATGGTAAAATGCTTCAAGAACAAATGACCACGACTCTGGCTTTGACAGATAAGGAAGAAATAGAAATGTCAGAAGTGTAACTAAAAAACCAAGAAGTTCCCAGCACCACAATTCTGTGGGTAATACCAACTCAAGCAGAAGGCACCAGTATTAGAATTACCATTACCTGAAACAAAATTCTTCCTACTGAACTATTTAAGTCCAGTTAACTGTGCCATTAGGGACACTTTTGAGACATAGTCTAGGCAGTGACAGTACTTTGAAGAAAAAGCATCAAACATTTCCTTTGATATGAAAAGTCAAGTAGATTTATCCTACTTCCAAAAGATTATTCTAGGCCCCCTTCAGGTACTAGAAAGCCACTGTAAGATCTCCCCAGAGCCTTCTCTTCTCCAGGCTGAACAACCCCAACTCCACCTGTTGCAGAAGAGGTGCTCCAGCCCACCCTGATCATTTTCGTGGCCCTCCTGTGGACCCGCTCCAACAGCTCCACGTTTTTCTTTTGCTGGGGACTCCAGAAGTGCCTAACTGTGAATAGGGTGCAAAGTGAATAAAGGAAAGTAAAATGTGAGGAAGATCTAAGTTTTAGTGAGTCCTACTGGTTTGGGAGCCCAGAACCTTTAGGTGTTCTACAGTGATCAGCTCTTTTTAGGATGTTTAAAATGCCTTGCTGGCAGAAGTTGTTATGGCACAGGGTTCATCTTAGGCCTCTGATACTAAAAGCCACAGAATGAGAGATTTTGTCTTTAGAACAAAGATGCCCATGGAAAGATGCACAAAGATGGCAAAATGATCAAACAGTAATTGAGGGGAAAAAAGAATTTGATTGTTAGAGCAACCAAAGAGAAAATCATCATCAACTGAAAGGTCCTCAGCAGTACCTGCATGTCTCTAGACAGCACACAACTCTGAGAATTATTGTCTCCTTAGAACAAATGATTCCACAATTAAGACATTACATCTGCAATACCTAGAGAAGTTTGCAAGAACACTCTGAAGACCATTTGGGCTTTTAACAAGGACTGAAAGTAGGACCTTTGCAGAGTTAGTGTAAAAGTCAAAGAAAGATGACAATTTATCTGGGAATTCAAAGCAGAGAGGTTAGACAGAGCCTCCAATTTTGCAAGCTGAAACTGCAATGAGGCAGAGGAAGGAGCAGTTTTCAGACCATTCAAAAACCTAGCCTTATCCCTGAATTTACAGAAGAACCTAGCTCTCTGGTAGACACAGCCACAGATAAAAGGACAGGACAAATATATAGGAAGTCCCAAATCCAGGGTTTAGATGTTTTTCTATCAATTATGTTCACAGCAAGATGACAGAAGAAAGAACTTTCCAAAATAGGCCAGCTGGCTCCAGTACAGCCTCATTAGCAGGCAATGGCACTCAGATGTGAATAACTAGCAAAGAATGCTCATTAAGCTTTGCAATGGCTCTGACTCCTCATTAAAGGGAATCCCTACAGAAATGCACTTAGTAGATCCTGGAAGAAGCATTGCTTAGAGTTGCTTCTCTAGGAAGACAGAATATGCAAACATCTAATTTGAATAATGCCTACAAAGGTCATGCTCCCTTGAGAGAAAAATAAAGCTGTGTCATTTCTGAAAGTAGATACATCTGCATCTCATTCTTTCATGCTAATATAACTGGGGCATGCAAGGCCAGTCAGAGTAAATCTCACACATGGAGCTTGCCTTGAGGAGGCATTTAATGAATCTAGTAACCCAACAGGTAAAGAGAGTAAACATTACTGTTAAAATGTCAGATTCTCCATTTCACCTGCTTTGTATGACTAGATTTATTTTCCAACAGAAATTATCCAGAGCAAGTGCTCACCTCTGTACATGGCCAGTCTGTAAAATAAAGTGCAACATTAAAATAAGTTCTTGAAAAAAGTGCTCAGTCACTGGGACAACAGGCTAGCACACTACCATATTGGGAGCAACAGTCTTCTGTGACAGGGTGCACCAAATTAAAAGCCCTTAATGGTGTCAGAAACACAGAGCGAGATTCAGGAGGCATCCTCACACCTGCCAAGACCAAATGCTATTAGGTTCATGCTTCAGAGGCATAATCCACCGGTGCTTGTAAGACCAATGAGACTGCAAGTCATGCCTGTCGTGAAGGTGAAGAAGAAAAATGTGCGTGCATATCTTCACTTTTCCATTCCCTGTGAAGGTTTGTAGCAAGGTATGTTTCAGCCTAACAGACAACTGCAATGGTGACCCTCCAAGCTTGAGATGTTTTACCTTCATTTTGATAAAGAACAAGAGTATCTTTTCGTGGTAGACTTTGTAAGAGAACTCTCCCTGGTGATACACAGTCTGACTTCGAGTTTGCCAGTTAATGCCAGCCATTAACTGAATCTTGTGAGGCTTTTGTACATGTCTGAAGTAAGTAGATTTGAAGTTTAAGCTTCAAGTCTTTCTAATTTTCATTTTGAAAGAATGTCAGAGCTTACTTAAATGACAATCAGAGTGTGAAATTCAAGCATCTCAAGCTGCTTAAGTGCAAAAAGTGCCACTTTAGTAGGGTAGCTGATTGGAACTAACAAAAGCACTGGGCAATCTCTTCTTTGTACATCCACTGGCAGAGAACAGAAAAGGCAAAATGTTAATGAACTGAGGAGAAGCTCTTTGATGTCAAGTGGCATCATAAAGAATATTCAAGTTATGTGAATGTGGACTTCACTTTGTAAAGAGAACGGTAAATTCAAAGCAGGTAATATCCTCAGGAACAGAAGACGTGCAATACTGTCAACTGAATTATTGTTGAGTATTAATAGACATTAAATACACATCTATAAGCAAACAGTCCTGAAATGCAATACAATGGCTTCATGAATAAGACAACAAATGTCTTCCAGACACCAAGGTATCCAGACTTCAGAGAGTCCACAATCAATGACAGCACTGTTAAAAAGTACCAATGACAAAGTAAAACTTGAATACTGGGAAGAGCAGATAAAAAGTCATGAATGTGTTCATCTATCACACTGCATCTACAAAAAGGAAGGTATATTTCAGAATCTTTCAAGGGGACAACTGATTTGGGTCCATATAGTAACTGCCATTTAGTATCCTCTCAGATGCCAGACCTGAACAATGCTTGTTTACCCAAGAAAGAATGTATTACACAGGCCCCCGTGAAATAATTATAAAACCTTTTTTTCATAGAATCTTCACTGATCTATTTTCCTTTCTCATAGCTAATTTCAAAATTTAAATTTCATCTGTCAGACTCTTCAGACTTCACTTAACAAGTATCCAGTGATGACAAACTGCGGAATGGATTATTTTTAATCTATATGTTTAAAATAAACTTCAGGAATTTTCTCAGAAAGAGGAACATGTAGAGTGCTGAATAATTTACCACGTTGAAGACAGAAAGAACTATAAAGGCCTTCAAGAAGTGAGGAAGATTTCTATTAATAAATATGGATGTCTTCAAAGTCAGCACCTTTTCCCTGACCAAGTCACCACAGGCTTCCAGTAGAGTCAACTGACTGTCAGTCAAAACAGTCAATGGAGTTGCACAGTGCCACTCACTGTGGCAGTTAGTGTAAGCTGGGCCTAGACAGTGAAAAGTTTCATTATCTTTTGTTTTAGTAGAAGTAAACAAAATTGGTCCAACCTCCTGTCCCGATTGACAGGATAGCGTTTGTGTGTTCAACAAGACAGCCAAATTATGCAGCCAACCAGCTCAACATCAAGAACTAAAAACGTGTCCAGAACGTGTAAAGAGTGAGTGTTCCCATACCACAGTGCTGAGGCTCTCCTGGGACAGCCCTCGGACAGTAGGAGCTGGGCAGGGGCTGTTTCTCTTACTGAGTTACTGCAGCTCCCCTGCCTGCCTCTGTGCTACTCTGGGGGTGTAGAGATGGGACTTTGATGGGCTGATGGTTCTCCTGCAATAGGCCTGGACGTAGATAGGGCAAGGTATTATTTGGGCTCCTCCCCCCCCTACCCCTCCCACCC